AATCTAGACACAGAATAAACCCAAGCAGAAAGCCTGACAACACATGTCAAATTCTGTGAAGCATCAAAACACAGCACGCCAATAACAAGAGGCACAAAAACTAACTTTCAAAGTGGACGAGTCAACACCTGCGACAGACAGTGCAAAACCTCCGACTTAACAGCCTTTAAACATACCAACGATCAACACAACACTGTTTTCAAAAAAACCAAAGAGGAAAACATATGAAAGATAAAATTAGGCAGCATCATGGATGTTGCGGTGATCGTCATCATCAACTTCTAGTACCCACTGATCAACGGCAACACACTAAACAGAGCATCAACAGCTTCTACAACTACGGTGCAGAATGTTTACCATGGTTCTCTGTAGCCTGCTCGCTCAGCTTGTCAATCCACACATGCACGCCCACACACAGCACACACAGCTCTGGCGCCTGCGAGTCGGCTCATCCAGTCCTACAGTGTCACGGAGACTTGGAAGCACAAGGCGAATGAGTGGTCCCAAGGAGTCACTGTAGGTGCTCGGGAGTATGCAATCGAGGGCTTCTCCACATCATAGACCATACAATTCTGTATTCCCAGCGAGAGCTGGTGTATGGAAGCTGTCGCTTAAGCATAAGACATTTCGGATCATGATGACCTCCGCCAGAGCTGCGCTTTGTCAACATCTTGTTTGTAAAGTTCATCGATCAATTTCGAGGCTGTAGTCCTGCCTGACTGGTCTAACGCAGTTCGATTGGAACTAAGGATTGCTAGCACTATATTTGTAGATGATATGGCAATAATGGCTTCATCGGTATGCGACCTCTCAGCACAACAGAGGATCGGCTCGCAACCGAGTGTAAAACGGTGGAGGAGGATCAGCAGTCGCAAGGTCTTGAGGGCATTTGCACAGCAGAGAAACCGATGGATGTCCACTCCAAGAAGCGACACTGACCCGGCAAGTAGGAAGGATTTCTACAATCGTTCTCTTGCTCCTCGCGACGAACTTAATCCAGGCATGACAGTCGCGACATAGGAACCACGGCATCGGACCTCAAGTCCTAATCACATGCTGCTGCTTGCCACAGCTGATCCACAATGCAAAGCTTCCTAATTGACATCATACTGACCCGCACAAATGCTCACTATGAATGCGCATGGGTAGCATAACAAAGCATGTGATCGCGTACAAGCTAGGTGTGTTAGTGTAGGTGTATGGTGTAAAGCTAAGCACGGAGACAGGTGCTAGTCAACATGTGCGATCAGCAAGGTCAGACTCGGAGTTGATGCGCATACCTATTCACAGCGAAAGAGAGTACAAAGTGATTCGGGATCAAAACTGACAGTTCGGATGCCACTCGGAGCATCTAGGGCGGTGTTCGCCACAGTGGGTAAAGACCAAGGATAAACCTAGAACAGATGTAGTGATTATAGTGCGTTTGTTCTGCTGAAGAGCAACGCTCCATACTACAGTGAGCTGTTGCTGTAGTGGCAGACAGTTCGTGACTCTCTGCTGTGACT